CGAAACCTGGATCTGTGCAAAAGAGCACAGAGTGTAGTATCAGCACAACCGACCCCATGTGCTGGTAAGTGCCTAGCCTAACCTCGGCGAAGTAGTGACGAGGCTAGGACCAGACTATCAAATAAACCTATGCAGTTATATAAAATACAGCGGAAAGTAAAGCGGGTATAAGCAAGTAAGGATGGGAGGGGGAAACATGCTTCGGGGGATAACAGGTAAAAACAGAATATCAAGAGAATAATAAAGAACATCAATAATTTAACTCTAACACGGATAAGGGAAATAAAAGCAGGTTTCACTGTCAGTGCATATCTCGTTGCAGGCGTGCAACCCGATCCCATTTCCTGTATCTTGTGGCAGGCGTGCCACCCGCTCCCATTTCCTTATATCACATGGTAGGCGTACCACCCGCTCTCATTTCAATATATTAACAGTTCTTCTAAATGAAATTACTCCAACAAACGCAACAATTAATACGAATTCATAAGACAACAAGTACTCAATAATTATGACTCACTGAGGAAGACAAGTAATGACAAGTAGCAATTAAGTCACATAAACATGTAGCAATTATAGCATAAATTCAAGGCATGATGTTGTGCAAGGATACCTAGAGCTAATAATAACAAGTAACACAATAAAGGAAAATGCCAACATAAAGAATCACAGTAATGGAAGAATAAGACAATTAATGCACTTGAACCAATAACAACAAGAAATCATAACAAACTGCAACAAGTGCACGGCATCACCCTTCGTGCTTTAACACTCTCTCAATAAAACAATGCACGGCATCACCATTCGTGTTTTACGCTCTTCCTCACCCAAACAACAATCACAATGCAAATAGGGTAAGGGAATCTATAACATCGAAATAAAATCAAGTAACAACAGAAAATCAGTAAATAAAAGTAAAGGACAACATAACTCAATTATAAGCAAGAATCAGGAAAATCAAAGACAAGTGAAAGGCATCACCCTTCGTGTTTTTACTCTCGTCCTCACCAAGCAATAATATAATGAAAACGTGCACGGCATCACCCTTCGTGCTTTTACTCTCTTTCCTCACATATAATCAATAGAATTGGCACGGAATGGTACATCGTGCGGCACGGCATCACCCTTCGTGCTTTATACTCTTTCCTCACTATAGCAAACAATGCACGGCATCACCCTTCGTGCTTTACGCTCTTCCTCACCCAAACAACAATCACAAACAAGGGAAAGGGAAATAAACAAGAACATATAGGAATCCTGGCAAGGGAACAACGATTTAACAATTAAATCCCGGCAAGGGAGCAACAAGTAAATAATTAAATCCCGGCAAGGGAACAATAATTAAATAATTCAATCCCGGCAAGGGAATATTTCAATAACTCTTTCTCTATCTTTCACTTGTACTTCATAACTTACTTTACCACTTGAGCCAATGCTCCAAAGGGTTCAATGGTATCAATTCCTTCCACAAATTTTTCACAACAACTAGAAATCATCACCAAAGCATGAAGAATACAACGAAATCATGAAAATCACAATATAAGACTCACTGTCATACTTGACACCAACGTAGAGATACTCGTCACCATGCCCATACGTCGTACTCAACAATTATCACATAGCAATTAGGACTCAACTCCTAATCCCTCAAGCTAAGGTTAGACCAAACACTTACCTCAAACTTCCACGGCCAATTCAATCCTCAATAACCGCCTTTCCTTTCGAATTCGGCTCCAAATCGATTGTATCTATACAATAATGACTTCAATACATCAATAAATGCTAAACAATACGAACCCAATGCCTAATTATAGCTTTTCCATCATTTTTCCCAAAAACTCAAAAATCGACCCCGGGCCCGCTTGGTCAAAACACGAGGTTCGGACCAAAATAAAATCACCCATTCACCCACGAGCCCAAATATATAATTTGTTTTCAAATTCGACCCCAAAACGAGGTCTAAATCAAGAAAAATCAAAAAGCCCTTCTCTACCCAAATACCCAATTTTCTACCTTAAATCGCATGTTTTAGACCTAGGATTTCATTAGATGTTGAAGAAAATGGAAGAAAACAAGTAAATGATTACTAACCCAAGAGGTTTTGGTGAAGGATTGCTTCAATGGTCGCCTAAGAGCTTGGAGAAGAAAGGTTTTGTGAAATATTTGGTGAAATCCCGTAATAACATTGTTCTGGAAATTAAAATATAACTGGGCGAAAAATGCTCTATGCGATCGCGAAGAGAGTCATGCGATCGCATAGGGGAAGGGAAGGTTGGTCTCTGCGATCGCGAACCAAACACTGCGATCGCATAGAAGAAAGGGCTTTCCCTTCTCAGATTTGGTTTAATGCTCTGCGATCGCGGGAGGAAGGATGCGATCGCGTTGAATGAATTGGGCTAAGCTACGCGATCGCGGATGAATCTATGCGATCGCGTAGAACAAAACTGGGCACCTGGAAGCTTACACTATGCGAACGCGATGCTGCCTATGCGATCGCATAGAACTAAATATCAGAACACCAGATCTGCAACTTCCTGCAATTTTTTCTAAGTCTAAACCATCCCGAAACACATCCGAATCACATCCTAGCCCTCGGGGCTCCTAACCAAACACATGAACTAACTCAACAACATCATATGAACTTATCCGAGCGATTAAATCGCCTAAATAACATCATTATCAACAAATTAAACCTCAAACTCGAAGCATTTTTCCGAAACTTCATCAAGTTCCACATTTAGGATTTCAAGTCCGAACACGTCAAACGACGTCCGATTTTAACCAAACTTTATAGACACATCTTACATCATATATAAGACATGTACCGGGAGCCGGATCAAAAATACGGGCCCGATACCAATACGTTCCAATCAAATATCATTTCAATTTTTCCTTAACAATTTCAGAAAAACAATTTCTTTTAAAAATTCATTTCTCGAGCTCGGGACCTCGGAGTTCGATTTCGGGCATACGCCCAAGTCCCATATTTTTCTACGGACCCTCCAGGACCGTCAAATCACGGGTCCCGGTCCGTTTACCCAAAATGTTGACCGAAGTCAAATTTATTCATTTTAATACCAAAATTTAGCATTTTTCACACAATTTCACATTTAAGCCTTCCGGCTACGCGCCCGGACTGCGCAAGCAAAACGAGGCGACTATAAATGAGGTTTTCAAGGCCTCGGAAGCATAGAATGGATAAGAAAACAGGTGATGACCCTTTGGGTCGTCACACAAATAATCTTCTGTAGCCAAGGACGAAGTAATTTCACTCTGAATCCTTGATCTTCTTGCATTCAATAGATTAAAATGCACCCTGTAAATTCAAAAGAAACAATAATTAGCACAAAAGAATGAGTCAACCAAAAGAAACACTAATACTAAGATGCAAGTTTGACTTGTAAAAATGGTAGAAGAACGTTCAAAGAGAGAAAAATTATGTGTAGATAATTCTTTTACAAGAATTTTTAGCATATAACAAGAGGAAAAAATTCAAACCAACAAGACAAGAAAACAAACCTGTATGCTTTTTCAAAAACTTTCGAAAGAATTTTCATCTCATTTTTGTAATGTTGTTTGGACGATCTGTGGCTCCTCCTAACATTACATTATAATCTTCAAGGTTCCACTCATTAACTATCACAATACGCCACAATATCTATCAAATTGTTAGAATATAAATCCAAAAATTCAACTCAAATAGGTGTAGGAATTGAGAAATCCTAAGATGTAGATATATAAACATACCTAAAAAGAGAAAAAGGCATCAGGCTATATAGCTAGTGATTCCGTTGATTTGCTCCTTTCACGTGAAGACAGAAGGCGCCGTAAAGGAAGGAAACGGGAAAAGGGCGCAAGGGGATTGAAGTTTTTATAATTTTATTAGGTTTTGGGGAGTTTGGTTTGGGCCAACTAGCCTTTATATTCATTTTTTTTTTGTTAATATATATTTTCTTCCTTTTATTTCTTAATACAAATACCATAAATAAGAGAAATGTAAATACTAACAAATACAATAGATAAGAAACTTATCTATGGAAAATGAAAAAAATTAAATACATAATTTACACTAAGTAAAATAGAAAAATCAACTTGCATGAAATAAAGATATTCTATAATATAGTATATTCCTTACAACTTTTTTCTTCCTATATGATATTGTTAGTTTTGTAATTTACTCCTATTTAAATTATATTAGCTTCTTAATTTTTTAGTGTTTAATTAGATTATGATAGTTATTAAGTTATTAAAATAGTATTAGACCATTAAATATACAAATTTCTATTTATCTAAATTGAGTGTACAGTGACCATTTGATATTGCTTATTCAAATCTAATGAAAATTAATTACATACTTATTTAAATTTTATAGAAAATTATAAGTATATTTTTTTAATATGAAATATGTTATACTAGTTAGTTTTGTTATACACTCCTATATCAAGTTATCAACCATATTATTATTATTTTTTGAAGTGAAACTTAATAATATCGAATTATGTCAACATTATAAAATATCAAAAATAGTCACAAGAGAAACACGATCCTCTTCATGTATCATTATCATAGTTAATTCTCAATTCTTATATTTAATGTATAATTAAAAATGACAATTGAAAACTTATTAAGAAAGTATATTTAGCTCTATATATATATATATAGAGAGAGAGCGCTAAATATACTTTTCCAATTGTCATTATATATATATATATATATATATATATATATATATATATATATATATATATATATATTATTGTTTAAATTCTATAAAAATAGTCATCCACACGAATTAGCTATAATTCCATTATATTAAATAAGAATTATAATATAATTAGTTTTCCAATGGACTTAAGTATCAATTAACTTCATTATCTATATTATATTAAAAACAGGAAACTCCAAACTTAAAACTTAAATTACTAAATTACCCCTACCCCACAAAATTTAATAAAAAAGTTAAAAATAAACTTACACGCCTGTCTGAAGAGTCCCGTGTCCCCTAACTTCCTCTTGGATAGACGCCTTCCTTCTAACAATCATCTTAGAAGAGTTGCACCGTTTTATTTAGCTATCTATAAAAATCAGAACCCAAATGGCACTTTTTCCTTGTCTTTGATTTTCTCTGCTAAGACAACAGGTTTTGGCGCTAACCTCCTTTTCACCGGATTCTCATATTCTTTCATTTAATCATCTACTTCTTATAGTTTTTTCCAATTTCACTTGATGGTTTGATTCATCTATTTCCGGCTAAATCTTTAGCGATATCCCTTTTCTGCCGAAATTGAATTGTAAGTTCACTTATATTTAAATAGCAAAATCTTTCATGTATGTATAAATTTGGTTATGATTTGGAGATGATTAGAGTTTAATTGAGTTTGAACTATTTCAGCGGGATTAGAGTTTAATTAAGTTTGAACTTTTACGCCCTTATTTTTCTATGTGTGTCTGTTGCCACTGGTTTTCTGATGTTATTGATGTACTTTGTGAAGTTATATTCTATTAGAAGAATTAATCCAAACAACCCTCCACTCAACCGCTTAAACTAAAAATGGCCAGCGAATGTATAATTTTGTATAATCCGTATATAATAAATGTATAATCGTATATATAATCATACCGGCTAGAAAAAATTAAACTGTGAATTTGGCCGGCTATTTGGGTAAAAGTCCCTTAATTGTTTTCATACAAATGCACACATGACAAGCTTCAAGTAATAGAGAGAAACATGGTAAGGTCTATACTTATTAGTTTAATTACCTTCCAAGTATTAAATTTTCCGGGGAGTCAATAATATACTGAATTTTCTATTCTATCCATATACCATAGACTTTAAGAAAAACTTTGATAATTAAATCACATTCTCAAAAGCTTCTACTGCCCAGATCCAATATACTAATTGTGTCATTGATTCTGTAGATACTCTTACTATATCTTAACGTCCCTGAGACCTTGAATAGTGATAATCACATTTAAGAGTTTGAAGAATCTTGTGCTGGATTAAGAAATTCTGTTTAACTTATTTCATGTCCAGTTTGATAGATGTGATTCAAAGACTTAGATGATTATATTGCCAATAGATGTTCAAATCCTGTATTTGTATATTTCTTGAGACAAGTACTTTATGTATTTATGACTGTTTTTTCAATTATTATTTAGTGAAATAACTCCTTATAAAAGCAAGTATAAACACGATTACAAGACTACTTCAATGAAGTATCGAAACGATTATAGTAAAATCATTCATAACCTAAATGGCTCTAGAATACGGATATCCAATGAGAGATGTTGCCATATGCTTTATAACTTTGCTATTATTTGCTTCCTGTTCTTGCAGACAAGATCCTATATATATTTGAAAAAGATGAAATCTCCTCTATATTTACCGACAGTTCTATGAGTCCCCGGCCCATTCTACTCAGTTAGTTTGTTGTATTCTGGAAGTTACATTAATATGGACAATGACTTCTTACAGATCGGAGTAATATATTTTACTTTCCCGATCATTTCAGGAAAATAGAGGTACAAGCAACGCTAAAGTCCATCATTTTGATAAATGTAATATTTCCTTCAAAGGTTCCTCTTTATTCCTATTTTAATTTATTTACACATCTTATGAATGTTCTTTGTTGAACTTATGACGTGTTTATCTAAGTCCATTTTGGTTAAATGAGTATAGAAAGGAGAACTCCAAGTTATTTTTCCTTATTTTATCTTATTTAATCACCTAATTTTCATTAAGTAGATAAAAATGACTCGCCATTCAACCTTTGATTTATGAGATTTTAACTCTAACACTGTATATGATGAAGCTAGAGACTTTGTGCATAACATGTACATTAAAATAGAAAAAACGAGAGTTGAAAGCTCTATTGATATTGTATGTGCGATGGATATAGAGAAGATAAAGTTGATCAATGAATAATTTTTTCAACATCGCCGGAGCAATGAAATTTCAAAAGGAATAAACTAAAGTTTAATTGATGGTGTGATGGCTAGAAGAATGGAGATAGAGTTTGTCAGAGTGTATCCGTATTGACTTTATTTATAAATGGTCTTAAGATTATGCGAGAATGCTAGCTATTGGTACATTCAAATTTTAACTTATAACTAAATCAAATATTTTTCAAATATGTGTGCATATACTATTTTATTAGTATATATGTTGTATAAAAACAAATATGGCATACACGTGCAACGCACGTGCAGAGAGACTAGTTCTTTGAAATATCTACAACATGATTAGATAAAAATTAATAGGAATTATAATATCATAAACTTTTTTGTAGTATATATATANCTTAAATATATAAGAAATTACCCTAAGGAGTTACATAAAAAATAGTTAAGTACAAGACATACATAAATTCTCTATATATGTTAATATATTTTGAATTTTACACCAAATATATATAATTAACGCCCAAATATAACAAGTTGCAATAAAATAAAATATGAGTTTAATAAATAAAAAGTAAATTGATAAGTTTTGAAGCTACAAGTAGGCATACAAATGATCTATTAAAATTAACTTTTGCATACTTAAAGTTTATTAATACTTCAATTTATATATAATTACTATATTTTCTGTTATTTTGGAAAAATCTAACTTTTATAGTTAAAATTGAATTTTTATAATTTGATAATTGTTTGTGCATCTCTTACTTTTTTGTCATTGAAATAGTAAAATTCACCTATGAAATTTTGTACATATAACCTATTATAGTTAAAATACTATTATTGCAGTGACAATCCTAACTGTACGACTAAAGTTATAGTTAACTTGTAAATTTATCGTCACTTTAAATTTGTAGCTATTAATTTTGTCATGACAAATAGTTGTAACTATTATCTAAGTATTTTTATTTTCTTAAAATAAGAAGAAATATTTATTTGACTACAAAATTTTGTTTTAAATATTTACGCTAGAAGATTGCTATTGTTAGGGCAAATTTATCTTGTGGCAAAAACTAACGATTAGTTATAAAATTTTATCGTAGCAATAAATTTGTGGTTATATTATTTTATCGTGATAAAAAAATTATAGCTATTAAGCCAACTATTACCATGGCTTTTCAGAACTTGAAGCAAAATTATTTATTTGTAACAGTTTTTATTTACATAACTATTGTGACTAAAAGGTTACTGTTGGTATATTAAGTTTTAACTCGTGGCAAAAATTAATGATTAGCTACAAAATTCTGTTATAGTAAGAAATATGTGGCTAATTCAATGTATACTGCCACAACTTTTTATAACTTGAAGCAAATATCTTCATTTAGCTATAGTATTTTATTTCAAACATTTTATTGTGGCTAAAAAGTTACTATAACTATAGTAAGTTTTAACTCGTGGCAAAAAACTAATGATTAGCTATGGAATTCAATTATAGTAATAAATTTGTGGCTATATCTTTTAATTACTGCCACAACTTTTTTGAGCTTGAAGCAAAAATATTCATTTAGCTACAATATTTTGTTTCAAATAATTTGTTGTGGCTAAAATGTTACTATTGCTACAGTAACTATTGATGCGTGGCAAAAACTTATGATTAGCTACAATTATTTATTTGTAGTAATAAATTTGTAGCTATTAAGGTAGTTATTGCCACGATTGTTAGCAATTATAGCTAATACGAGGAATTTGCTTTACCAACTTAATTTTCGTGGCAAAGAAATTTAAAATTTTGTAAATAGCCACAAAATTCTATTTTTTGTGGCTATTATTAGGTATTAGCTATAAATTTCAAATTCGTAGCTAAGATTTCGTAGCTATAGATGCATAATGTTGTAGAGTCCTTCGTGGTAGGGGTAAGGTCTGCGTATACGCTACCTTCCCCAGACCCCACTAATGAGATTTTACTGGGTTGTTGTTGTCATGTGTGCGTAATTAACTTATCTATAAAATCGTGTTTGAGAATAAAATAAAAAATGTATAAAATATAAATTAAAGAAATGATTGACAAATGTTAAAAAAACAAGAAAGACACGAGCAAAATACTTGCTTTTTCTTCGTCATCTTTTCTTGATTGGTACTACAAATATTGGCTTTGGGAGTTAAGTTGTTAAACAAAAACCATGAAAGGACAGATCGAATTTTCCATGCCTGAAGATTTAATGCAGAATATATCTTTTTCAAATATTTGACATTTGAGGTTATGAATGAATCATAAGGCCAATGAGTCCTACAGGTTGATGGACTAATTAGGCCAAAATCCAAATATTATTTGGACTATTGGATCATGTCCCTTTACTTTCGATGTGGAAATTTGACTCGTATAGTGGAGAATTGAGAAGGTTTCATGTTTCACGTTTAACACCTAAGAATAGCGGGCAATATACACTGAGTATATTGTTTATTATTATTGTTTCAATTTATGCATAGTAAATTCTTGTATAAGTTACACATAAATTCATGTTATTTTATACCTAATAATGCAATATGGGATAACAATATTGTATTATCCATACCATGATAAAGTTCATATCTAATTAAAAAGAAAACACTGGCCTTGCTCTTAAGTCCAAGGGCATAACTGCAAACAACAATTTTAAACCAAACATAAGTTTAAGTTTTAGTACATTGTATGTCCAATTTCTAATACAATGAATCTAACATGCGATAAAAGATAACCGCTACAATATTATCCCTGTATTATTAGCTAGTTTGAATATAGATTTAATCTAAACTTGAAAAAAAGGAGTTTTTGAAGATGAGATAAAAAATAATTTTTGGAAGTTAAATTATGTTGGACAAATTTTTTCTTGAAAAGAAGTTTAAATTTTGTTAGTAGAAAACTTCGAAAACTTGAAAACCAATCTAAACCACATTTTGAAACATGAAAATTTCATCTTAAGAAACTGCTCAAAAACTGGCCACTTTTTAACCAAACAATATTTTTCCTTTTTTTATTTGTGTTGAAAAAAAGTGAAAAAGAACTCACGGCCAGATGGAAGCTTAAATTTTGCATTACTAATCCTTGTATTTTAATCCTTGCATAATCATTTACAAACCAACGACCCCTAAAGTCTCCTTATCCCTACCCAACAAGCCCACCTTCTAATTTTTAATTTTTTGTTTGTTATAGCGAAGTGCCACTATATAAAACTTATATTATAACATAATATGGAAATTGATTTCAAAAAAATTTAGCTTTTATAGTGAATTATTGTTATACAACGATACTGTTATAGAGAAATCTGACGGTAGAACTAAACTACACTACAATTTTTTGACATGTAGGAAATTAACACTTTTTATAGAACTACGGCTTAACAGTTGACTTTACCCAAATGGGACAAACATTACAGAAATTATACGTACTAATTAACCAGCCAGTGATTCAAGTATAATAAACAAACCAATCCGAATTTGGATCTTATAATTTCAACCACAAAATCTTGTACAATCAATCTATCGATGATGGTGTCGTTTTACCGGATATTTTTTTGTTGCTATAACAAAATGCAGTTGTAGAAAACTGAAAACACATAATATAACGTAACATAACATGAAAAATCAATTCCAAAAAAAAACTTGACTGCTATAGCAAAATGTTATTACTAAAGGATGACAATTATAGAGAAATCTGACTTCACATATTACCTAAATGAATAAATGCTTAATCAATCCCCACACGATAGTGTAAAAAAATTATATTATTTATATATATAAGTTAAAGATCCACCAAAAAAAAAATATTCAACGGGTGGGGAGAGGCCTAGTTGGTGTGTGCTGGCTTTCCTTCATTCATATTTTAGTACGAAGACTTGTTATTCTGTGCTGGCATTCCTGCATTCATATTTCTACAATAAATGGTGCTAACAAACATTGTTAGTATTAAATACTCCCTCCGTTCAATTTTATCTGTCCGGCCCACTATACTAAAAAAATATTCACTTTTATTTGTCTACTGTACTAAATCAAGAGAAAGACAATCTTTTTTTCCTGTTTTATCCTTATCATTCCCCAAATTATTTGCCACAACTTTTGAAAATACAACAACAATAACAACAACAAACCCAGTAGTTTTCCACAAGTGGGGTCTGCAGAAAGTAAGATGTACGCAGCCTCAGAGGCGGATCTAAGATTTAAATTTTATGGGTTCAATCTGTAAAGTTTTCAGCATTGAACCCGTTGTATTTTTAAAGTTATGGGTTCATATTTGCTATATATTTATATTAGTGAATTTGAACATATAAATGTATGTTCCGTGTCAAAAGTACTGGGTTCAATTGAACCCGGTACGAATACCTTGCATCCGCCTCTGCGCAGCCTTACCTCTACCCCTAGAAGGGTAGAGAGGTTGTTTACGATAGACCCTCAGTCAACTTGAAAATAATATCATTATTATGGAAAAATTATAAAATATATATTTCATTTATTATTTCGTAAGGAGCGTGAAAAATCTAAAGTAAGACAACTAAAAGTGAACGGTGAGATGCTTTACAATAACTCTAGACTATCACCTTTTACTACCAATCTCATTGAAACATTTAAATTTCAACAACCAGTCATTATGAGTCTACTACCACTTCATGGTAGGCACGTCAAGAAACCAAGAACCCCACATTTAGAAAATCCAATATACAAACAGATTCCAGAAAATGATTGCCATGACTTTTAAGCCTCTAATTTTGTCACCACTTATAACATATATATAAAGTCATATTCCTCCCTCCACATATTACACATTACAATCAAATATAGAATTTTGCTCATTTGCCTCTTTAGGCCAAGACCAGATAAACAGTGTATTTCAGCTTCTTTCATTTGGATTTGATCACAAAGAATGATGCGTGTCCGTGCAAAATTACCAGGATTCTGTAAAAGCAAAACTGTGGTCCGTGTTGGAGCGCGTTCGCCTTCTCAGCCATACAAGAAGAATGGCTTGATCAAATTCGATGCCACTGACAACAAAAACAGTACAGAAATGTGTTTCAACAACATTGACCCGAGGCTGGATTTTGAGAGTAGTGGCAATAATAATAGAGTTATGGTTGTTGTTGATCCTAGTCTTGATGCCAATTGTGCTTTGCAATGGGCACTTTCTCATACTGTCCAAAGTCAAGATACTATTATTCTTCTCTATGTCAGCAAGATTTCAAATGAAGGTTCAAATTTTTTGTTACTCTTCCTTTAGCCTCCAACCAATCAAACACATATACTTTAGTTTTTTTCTTAATAAGTTCTCTTTTATATGCTGTAGGTGAAAAAGCCAACAGTGAATTTAATCAGAAGGCCTATGAACTTCTTTGCTCCATGAAAAATATGTGCCAAACAAGGAAAGAAGGGGTAAGTAATTAAATTGCGATATATTATATTTTGGTTGATAAGACATGGTTTCTAAATCACTTAAAAACATAATAATTGACCAAACTAAACCGTCGTGTCAAGTATTTTAATTGGCCTTAGCCAACAGAAAAAGACTTAATAGGGAAATCTTCTTCTCCAAGTAATACTCTGCATCATGCATATCAAAATGATCATTCACATTTTTCGCCGATAGTAAAAATTTTCATAAAGCACTACAGTTTAGAGCCTAATTACCATACTTAACTATAATTTGCTTAATTACCATTCGTAGCTACTGTTCGGTTGTTACCAGCTTGTATCACTTGTATTCATTCGCTCTAAATGGCTATATCAACATTTATACAATACACTAAAATATAGTGATACTTATAGTTACTTTATCACTGTATGTGACTCCATACACTGTATTTACCGTTGGGATTTTGCTACAAAATATAAAGAGTAGCTATTAAATGTAATTATTTCAAAGTGTATTTATGTATGGTAAATACAGTGTATAACTTAGTTACACCATGTAATTTAGTTGTATAAAAAATGCAGCCCGGTGAACAAAGCATCCAGTGTTCACGCAGGTGCAATAAAAGGCCACACTCCACGAGTGTGATGTAGAAAAAACAACTACATATAAGTTGTATGAATACTCTAAATGTTGAGCGGCTCGTTAAGAAAACCATGCTTACTTGACCCAAAGTAAACATTAATTCTACAAATCCATTATATTTCAAATCAATGAGCTGCTAATTATCTATTGTCTTCATCATGTAAGGTGCAAGTGGAGATAACAATGCAAGAAGGAAAAGAGAAAGGAGCTGTGATTGTAGAAGAAGCAAAGCAACGTAAGGTGTCTTTACTGGTATTAGGACAGAGGAAAAGATCAATAGTGTGGAGACTGCTAAGGAAAAAGTCAAGAAGTAGACTTGTGAAATACTGTATTCAGAAGGCTAATTGCATGACAGTTGCTGTGAGAAGAAAGAGCAGCAAATCTGGAGGATATCTGATTACTACTAAACGTCATAAGAAATTTTGGCTTTTAGCTTGATGGAGTTATTTCAAGATTTCATCATTTACTTTTTTTAGTGAAATATTGTATTCAGAAGGCTAATCTGCTTTTTTTTGTTTTTTGGTTAATAATCAAAGGCAAAGCAAGAATGTATTGTCAAGAAACAATTCAAGTAGACAATACTCTCTCCTGATGACAAAGCAACCACTAAGGAGAGGCGGATCTAGGATTTTTATAACATGGGTGCACGGGAGAAAAAAGGAAGAGTTAAGTGGGATATGATCCCTAGTCCTCTAGGTAAATAACTCAACGTTTAACCAACTGCACCATTTAGCCTTTTTGGAGCATGGGTGCCAGCAAATAATACTAGACCAATTCTAAAAAATATGTACGTAAAATACCTAATTGGACGAAAAGACCACGGTTTCACACGCCCCATGTATTTGCCTATAAATCCGCCCCTGCCACTAAGCAAGAACTGAAAAAAAAAAAAAAATCCAACTGGAGCTTGGTATCACAAAAGTGAAGATATTAACACAAGGTAACAATCATATCATGCCAAGAAAATCAATGTATTTATACAGGTGAACTGATCTTCTACTATTTGCACTTTCAACCTATTTATGTAAAAGAAAAAGGCCTCAGTATCAACCTATTCATTAACAAGTGAAAAGTTTAGATTATCACAAGATGATCAGTGGAGGTAAAAAGCAAAGAAAACAAAGTTTAGAATGGACTGTACAGAAAATACAGGATGGAGGCCCTTATTTCATTTATTCTGCCTTGTTTATTCTTGTATATGCACATGGTAACTCTTGCCAAGCGTCAATTCAAAAGAAGTTGAGAGGGGAGAAATAATAGTCAGATGGAACAAGAGTCTTCACAGTGTAGTCTTGTATGACACCAAGTACTTCATTGTTTTGCTCCGATGATCCACAACATATAAGCATATGGTCTACAGCACCACAAGTCACGGAACTTCATATTCACGGAGCTATAACATTTGTGCGCAAGCACCCTGCTGCATACTGTTGCTTTCGTTTCTTTAAAATCAGTCGGTGAAATGAATGCTCTTCTTCACCTCTGCTTCTGCCAAGAATTCATACTTCTGTATGCAAATGAAATAGTGTTGTATACATGTATCCAATATTCATGCAAACGTCTTACTTGTTGAAGGCTCTTTGGGACTCAAAACTGTACGCAGGTCTATATACAATTTGGTGTAATTTATCATACCCCGCAAGTACTCCAGCCCCTGCTACACCATATAGCATATTTGCGCTTACTCCTCTAAAAAGTGCAGCAAAACCTTCAACGCGTATAATTTCACGGAGTGCATGCATGGAGTTCCTATACTTTGTTTCTTGCCCTGAAGTTAGCATCATTCTTCTGCGTACTGTGTCAAATGGGTAGGCACATACCCCAGAGGAAGTCGTTATGCTCCAACCCAACAGGAAACTGGCAAAAAAATTGTCCTGCAATGAGAACGAATGTGAGATTAGTGTCTACAGCCAACTTTGACAAGTCATATCAAGGCATGTCCTTCCTCCTCGCAAACAATTTTATCAAAAAGATCAGCACCATAACACATTTTCCCTTCCTCCCCCTCACAAATACCCCACATAAATTAATTGAAAGAGAAACTTTTAATCTTTTTTTAGCTGTTTTCCCTTTGTCTTTCATATAAAAGAAGGAAATGGTGCAATAAAACCTTTTTTATATATAAGGAAAATGGTGCAATAACACAGAAAATTCAAACCAGAAACTGCCAACATAGGAATCTAACATACCTGTAAGGGTCCAACTAAAACAATTGGCTTCATGGAGTCATAGAGCCCAAAGTACATGCCTCGGTACAGAGTTATTCCCATAATTGAGGCGCCAAAACCCCGATAAAGGCCAACAACTCCATCACTTGACAATGTCTTAGAGTAAACATCGATTAGCCCCTTAAACTGACGTTTACCAGTAAGTGGGCACTCCTTAGCATCCATTGCCAAGCGAGTCCTTGCGTAGTCCAAGTGATAAAGGAACAGAGAAGTAGTTGCTCCAGCAGCGCTACCTGAAGCCACATTGCCTGCAAACCACTTGACATATCCGTCTTTCTCTTTTGAATATCCAAAGAGAGTCTTGTAGTAACCTTTGAAAGCAAAGTTGGAAGCCTATGAAAGAAATAATAATTTAAGCTCACCAAAAATTAGTTGAAAAAACAAATTCTGTGTTTAATAATAGAATTTCCAATATCAAGATCTAAGTACAGAAACATTTTGATCAATTATTTGATACTATAGTTTCATCTTGCACTTGATGCTGATGTGAAAAGGACGATCCTGTTGTGGATGCGAAGATCAGATAGATGAAAAAAAAAAAAGAAGAACCGATGAGACTATTTAAGTGATTCAGAAGGAGTTCATTATAGAGAGAGTGCACCGCATAAGCAGTGGATTTCAGCATTAACAGCATTATTTCAACCAAAGCTCAGCAATATTTCCCTAAGAACTTGAGATGAATGTAGCTTGACCAAACACATCCCAAACACAATAATAACAGGCAGAGATCACAGATTTCTTCTTAGTTGTGAAGAAGGTTTATGAACAATCTACGAGGCAGAATCTAGATAGGATATATGATACCATACTCTTGATAATACATCTTTGCATAGGCATGAACATATTCATTTTTTTATACAGGATATGAGGAATTAAAGGACACATGTCCCACCCCCCTCCAAGTATGGCTTCAAGCAACAAACAAATAAAGGCCTATCTAACCCCCACCATGCCCAAGGTGAATTTAATAATGATTATGATGACAGTAGGACCCAAAAATAAAGAGTAACTTTCCATTCGGACTAAGTTATGAGAAGAACATATTGGAGCTAGCGATATCTTATTAAGAAATCCAAATATGCATAGATTGTGCTTGAGGACCTGGTGAGTAGAATCCGAGGAGGACTTCTTGGAAAAGTGCTAAGTTTGGATGGAGTAACCAATATTTAAACAGGGAACTCCAGGCTCATGCTTATATTAATGCGATGCATGCTCTAAATGTCCTAGCGAGCATGGGGGTAAATGTTTCACAGCCTAAGCCCTAATAAAGTGCCCATTCTCCCCATGCACATCTTGTACCTTGAGGCATTCTCCTCGTTCACCTTAGTTTCATAATAATATCATCTCTCAAAACACTTAGCGTGGAACTATCAGGTTTTCTAAATGTCATCAGGGAACTTCTCTTCACTATTAGTCAAATCTGTAATTAAGATATGATTCCAACAAACTTTCTCCTTCACTCCATGTATGAGGGCAACTCTGAAGTAACCCTGTTGATGGATACTGAAACTATCTAATAAGCTTTTCTCACTATAAGCTATAGCTGCCTATTGAAGCAATCATCATCATCAAGAGTTATAATAAGCCCTGGAATTATTCTAAGGATAACAGGAAGTCTATCAGTAGGGGTGGCAAAATGGTTAAAAGAAAACAGTTAACTACCTATATTATCCACTAAAAAATGGGTTGGATAATGAACTTTTGAAAAACGGGTCAAATATGGATAAGAACCATATTATCCATTTAGAAAATGGATGACCAATGAGTAACCAATGGATAACCAACGGGTCTAACTTTTACATTTGTAAAGCCTCAAACTCGGGGTTCCTCAAAGTTAGGGAGACTAAGAATTCTACCAAAAGTGATCATATACAAGAAGTGATGGATAATATGGGTAACCCATATTATCCGCCGGTTAACCTGTTTTCTATCCGTATTAAATGTGGGTCGGGTCGGATAATTGATCCGTTTTTTCATTACCCGTTTTTTACCCGAACCATATCCGACCCGACCTGCCCGTTTGCCACTCCTATCTATCAGAAGTCCAGTTTGTAGCTAGAATAAAAGACTAAAAGGCTAATAGTCCTTTTCAGTACCCACTTCCAAACATATTGCAAATTCACTCAACTCTATCAATTCCTGTCCTTTATTGTGGTCAATGACTAGGTGGTGGGAGCACTTTGGTTCCTGCAGCTATGGCAATCACCTTAGACTTCCACTTACTTCGTATATTGAAGAGGAGACAGATAACCAAGAGACACGTAAGGAGAAAGTAGTAAAGGTTACAGTGAGAAGAGATCTTCTATCTATAACACCTTAAAAACATGAAAAAGCGTTGCACAGGGAGGATAATCAAAAAATTCATATGACATTTGAATTTTGCTAAAACATGGCAAACACAACAGAAGAAGAATGGCATTAGAAAGGAAAAAGAAGAAAGCAACATATGGTCAAGTATAACTGGATAAATTTCAGTCTTCTATGAAAAATAATAAAGTACATACACTAGTCCATATACAGCTTGTTACAGCAAGACACAAATTTCCCTAAGCCTAAAAAGATTAACTTGTTGCTGTAGACTGACATACTTGGCAACTGAGCTTTACACCTACATGTGACAAGTCTTCTAGAGCCTGTGACTGCAACACACAGATTTTCCTAAGACTAAGAAGAGTAGCTTGTCCAAGTAAACTGGCATACTTGGCATCTAATGAGCTTTAAACCTACATGTCAAAATATTATGATGATATCTTGAAATCTAACTGGAAGCTATAGATTCTGATACCAGGGAAACAACAACTTCCCTTTATTGCAATGCTTCACAAAAAGTTGTGCACTTATATAGTAGAAATTATACTTCGAATGTTCCTTAATAGTGAGGATTCATATAGCGGAGCCCGACAAGCTTTGGACTAAAGTGTAGTTGTTGTGCTTTTTTACTTTGTACTTTAAAACTCTACGTTGCACGTCCTTCTTTTTGTACCTTTCTTTTTAGAGAAATTCAATGTTATGAAATAGTTAGGAGAAATAATGCAGAGTTGTTAATTGATACTGTAAGGGAGAAGTGGAGTCGTGCAGGAGCAATTTTCCATTAACATCATTGAAGTGAGCATTGGTTGGGTCTAATTGGTTGCTTTATAAAATTATCAGAAAATACCACCTATGCACATTGTGTAGCAGACAATGTTGATGTGGTTATCTTAGATCACTTGTACAGAAGCATAATCTTAACGAACATTAAATAAAAAGCTGCTTTGACATGGTAGCTAAGGAAAACCTTGCTTTAGGGACCCTAGAAGGGGTCTGAATCACACAGAGAACATTGTCAATTCAATCAAGAAACATGTAAAGGATGACTTAGTATAGTAATCATCATGAACTGTCTAAGTCCGATGCAGAAAAAGTCAAAAATAATTTATGACCCACCTGAGTTGGGAAATATCTTATAACATTGGCCTGGTTTCCCCTCCACAATGAGACAAGACCCTCCTCCCGCAAAACTCTTTGAAAGCAATCACCGATTCCCATATAAGGTCTCTTAAGTTGACCTCTCTTCATCAATTCTCCCTGATTCTGCAACAAAAGTTTTACTCTCTCAATTGGCGCTGCAGCACTTTTTGCTACAATGGCTGCCGTTCCCCCCATCAGAAAATCCACAGAAAAGTTTTCTGATCTAGTTTCCATCTTTAGGCCCCAAGTTTTCCCTCTTTAATCCTGCAAAAGCAACAAGAGCACATAAATATCTCAACAAATAGAACTCACCAACTAAATGCTCTCTTACCTACTTTATGCTAGCTTCATTTTCCCAATCTATAACCACAAACATCATCAAGTGAAGATACTCTTTACAATGTTTGAAATTCTTTCTTCACTTCTAGACAAGTAAGATCGGTTAACATTTCAACTTGGTGACATTTAGAGAATCTCTAATTTTAGAGACCCTTAAATTTGTCTTCATTATTGAGTATTCGAATGGATTCGAGCCGTGGAAACAGCCTCTTGCAGAAATACATGTAAGGCTGCGTACAATAGACCGCTTAGTGCACCGGGCTGCCCTTTTTTATTGAGTATTCGAATGAAACAAACTGAAAAAAGAGCATAATGGGTATAGAATACATATATATTTCACCCAAATATATCTGGGATTGAGACATAGTTATTCTTGTTGTTCTTAAGAGCTGGGCATTTCTTTACGTTTTAACTGCACATGGAATTCCATATATCAAGCCTTTTCCAATGTTTACAATGATAGAGATTTAAACTTGCAAAAAATGACGTTTGTTTTATGAATCTTCACCGCTCAATTTCAACAGGGTTTCTGAATTTAAGGAGAGAAATCCAGCAAAAGAAACTTCTTCCATCAAAAGGGTATAGAAATATGTAATGAAATGCTCAACGTGATTAATTAAGAAAGAAAATGAGAAATAAGTTACCAGACGAGCCAATGGGTATTCGGAGCCTGGAGGTTCGGAAAAAGAGTCACCTACCACCGGGCGGTGGCGGTGGTGGGCGATGGCAGAGGAGGGTGGTTGCTGCGGCTTCAGCAAACCACCAATTTTTTTTATAATTTTTTTAATGTAGATTTAGATTTTTGAATGTCTTACATGAGAGCCTTGACGGGTCTATTTTCTTGTGCGTTCTGACATATTATTATTTTTGGCGTCGAAATGCGCAATCCATTAAACTTCCGCCTTGTCTTTTCCATTTTTATTACTCTTCGTTATCGTTTTCCTCTTTTGTTACATTTCATTTCAGCCGCTTAAAGACGCTTTTACATTTTGTGGTATACTTTAATTTAGGCCAAAGGAGCATTATTTTTCTCTAAAGACCTCAAACTATTAAGAATATCTTATAGTATTTTATATTCCATCCTTTTAATGTTTGAACTTTTTCGGAATATTGTATGGGTCAATCTGATCACATGTGGATTAGCGCTAACAGGAATGGTAAGAGATCGACTAAGCCGTGGTCGTACCCACAGGGTGTAATAACAACGGAGACCTCGGGCACTGTCGAGATCAAGCCATCAAAAAGCTTGTATGGTGAAGTAAATATCGTGATATTTGAGTGAGGCGACGTGAATGACAGTCAAGGGATGAAGGCATTCTGGTTAAGGACCAATGGACAAAAGGGAATACTGATAATATATATAGGAGGTAAGGACTTCCTCTCCTGGAGAAAGGAGAAGAACAGAAGACCAAGAAAAGGCTTAGATACAAATCTCTGTAATCGTGATTATTGAATCAAGGAAGCTAGATCTCGTTACTGCCAATGGCATCTCATCTTTTCCATTTTTATCACCACATTACGGGATGATATGTCAAGAATGTAAGCTTATTGTTTATACTTGATGTCTTTTAATGATCTCAAATCGGCCTATAAGTTTGATTATATCTCATCCTCTTATTCAATGCACTTAGATCTAGAGTTAATTATCCTTGGCTAAGATTTATCCTCTATTTTATCATTAATTAGTTTAACAAAGAGTTTAACACTTTTTGGTCAAACAAGTACAATTATTAAATTGATTAATTTTCAGTGTGAATTCGGGCAAAGTACTATAGGTCACAGTAGTTAATAATTTAAAATATTTGCAAAAAATATGATCAAAGAAAATCATGTTTGACTCCCCAAATAGTAATACGTTCATTCTGTTTGAAATAGAGGGAGTATATAATTTATTCATCAACTGTTTATCGACTTTTAATACGAAACTTTTGTGCGCACAATGGTCACACTTCTCACTATTAATTGGTTAATTTTGCAAATCAAATAGGAGTACTTGTTTGCAAATAAACAGGAGGTAAGGGCATCTCCAACCTTGCCCCCATCCCCTATAATGGGGGAATTTTTTGGGGAAATTTTGCTCCAACCTTCCCTTATTTTTGTCCCCAAAATGGGGATGAATAGTGTTCCCTCAAATATGGGGTACACTATTCATCTCCCCCATTACTATTTATCAATTTTTTTTATTATTTTATTATTTAATCTTTTAATTTATCTCTTTATATATACCTAATTATGTTTATGTAATGTCTTTATAATATTAATATTATATCTTAACTTTGGTGTATAATTTTGATAAATTAATTTTCGTGCATTTATTATTTTTATGTAAAATTATAAGTTAATTTTATTATAAGTTAATTGTACAAAAAATATATAATTATCTCAAAAAATGAATGGTGCAAATATAAAATATTATTCTTGAAGCTGTGGCTGATTATGACCTTTGGATATGGCATGCATATTTTGGTATGCCCGGCACCAATAATGACATTAATGTTTTAGAGTCATCACATTTGTTTTCCGATCTTGCTGCAGGTACTGCTCCTCCCGCCCATTATGTTATTCAAGGACAAGAATATAATATGGGTTATTATTTAGCTGACGGTATATATCCAAAATGGTGAACCCTTGTGCAAACTATTCGTGAGCCACGTTCGGCAAAGAAGAAATATTTTGCGATGAAACAAGAATCATGCCGAAAAGATGTTGAACGTGCATTCGGAGTTCTGCAACAACGTTTTGCAATTGTTGCAGGACCCTCGCGTTTTTGGCAGAAAGAAGTGCTACATGATATAATGACTACATGTATTATACTGCACAACATGATAATCGAGAATGAGCGTGATCTTAATGCACCAATTCAAGATGATTTGGAAGGTCCACCTCCAACAGTAGAAATGGCAGTAGATGAAAATCAACGATTTCAAGAATTTTTAGCTCGACATAGAAGAATTAAGGACAAAGATGCTCATTTTGCACTTCGTAATNTATTTCGAACGAATTTTATCCTTATGTAATATGTATTTAATTAATCTTGTATCGTAATGATTTCACTTTTATTTGAATTATTAGTTAATCTATAATAATTGCTTACAAATTATATTATTTAAATTTTATGGAATTGTTTTAATTATGGAAATTACAAATTAATAAAAATAAAAGATGGAATTTGTGTAATGGAAATTAAAAAATGAAATTGAAATGAAAGATAATAATATAATATAGAAGAGAGAGAAGAATATTAAAAATGTTTGGGGAAAAAAATGGAGGAATGGTTGAAGTAAGTTATCCCAAAAATGGGGAAATCATCATTTTGGGGGACAAAAAATGAAGGCAAAGTTGGAGATGGCCTAAGAGGGAAAGAAAAAAAAAAAAAAACAGGAAATTTACATGTGAGGCTACAATTCTTTCATCATCGAAACGCTAGAGTTTATGCTAGAATCGCCATCAGATTTTCAGATGCTTTGTCTCTTATTTAAATAAGAGTTCCAAAATGTGTGGTGGGTAAAGGTGAAATCTTGGTCTATGATGCGAAATTTGACCACACACTACAATATGGATATACCAAAATATAATTATTATACGAGTGATGCGGTCTAATCCCCATGTCAATGTGCCGCCAGCAGGTAATTGGATCCATTGTACCCACTTCTCTACTTGCGTAACCAATGTCATAGGTCTACTTGCCGCACTATTGCGTCCAATTAAAGTGTAGTCTAATGATCGATAAAGTATTTAAAATAGTAGTAGATATACAAGAACTTAAATCTCAACAGACACAAAAACGTTAGGTGATGAGTTGAATTACCCATTATCTCTGCGAGTTAGGAAACATGCAAGATACCTATGTGAAATGGACACCAAGGTCCGTGCAAGCAGAGGCCTACCGAGGATTTAAAAGTGACAGGACACCATTATCGAATAAAATTTGAGCAATGCCAGAGTGGCAATCGAACTCAGGCAGCGCACTAAAAGTCAAATTATGCCCCCGGCCCAAATCAACCAATGCAGTTGTTCAAGATTTGTATCTTAAGGTAACAATTAAAATATATACCTGTGTGACTGCCGACAGCAACATAGCCGTATTAAAAAAGAAAGCTTTTACTTTATAAACAAGAACCTATGGACATGATAGTATATTTGCCCAACCTTTAATTCATATTGGATAGACATAGATATAGACACAGTAGTTCAACATTAGTTCAAAGAGAAAACGAAAAGAAGCATTTTGATTCTCAGTGTTCATAAATTCTTTTGAAAAGATGATTAGCCAACGGTAGGGACCGAGTCAACTTTTCCATATTTATCGGCAAAGATATGGACCCTATTTGAACAGAAATCCAAATTCACAATGGAATCGTGTGGAATTATTTGTATGTGCAGCTCTGGGTTCTCCTCCTTTATCTTCCTTTCTGCTTCTTTTGTTGGCAGGCCAACCAACTTAGGCCATGACTTCCAAGCTATTCCAAAGGTTTTTTCATCTGCAATATTATAGTACTGAAATAGGGCTGAGGGATCACTAGCTACATGGATCCTGACCTTGCCAAAGGACTTTATCTTGAAATATTCAATATTTTCTAGCGGGGCATAGACATTATATAAAACTATATAACAAGGAGAAGCAGGGGCGGAGCTATGTGTGGTCAAGGGTGGTCAATTGAATACCCTTCGCCAAAATATTATACTGTTGATAAAATATTTGTTATTGACAAAAAATAGAGTTTGAATACCCTTGTATAGACCACACATTTATTGAATTTCCTGGCTTTGCCATTGAGGAGAAGGGGTCTATATAGAAGCTAACCAAAAATGGATAATGCGGCTGGTGATCACTAGAGATTATTGATCTTGGTTTCATCAATTTTATAAAAATGTGGGGAACAAAAATCATAATATCCATATAATAAAGGAAAGGAGGCTTACTATCACCAATGATATGGACATGCATCTACATAATCGGAAGGGGTGGAATTATATGCTTGTCCAGCTCTGGTTCTGCTTCCTCTGCTGGTGTACTCCAACCTGTTCCAAAAGTTTCTTCATCTGCAGTATTATAGTACTACAAAATAAGCAAGTAAAGGCAAAGAAGCTAACTAGACTATATATTAGACGGAAATAACTCCGAGTAAACAAAGCAAATGCCTATCTCAAGCTGACTAAAATAGGGCGAGTGATCACCAACAGAATGCCCTAAAATATTCAATATTTTCGAGTTGGACATACGCGTAATATTTTCGAGCTGTACAATTTTAACATCTCTCACACAGGAACGGAGTGGAATTATATGCATGTACAGCTCTGATTTTGGCTGTTTTTTGTCAAAAAATTTTTTGAAAATATTATTTGTTCATGAGCCCCACTATGTGGAATTATACTGAGTATATTGTTGTTGTTGTTTGTTCATAAAATATGATCAGTTTTTTAAAAAAAATCAACTTTTTCTCAAATAAAATACATGACCAAACACAACTTCAACTTTCAAAAATTATTTTTTACACAACTTTAAAAACTTTCTTTTAAAGTTCCAACCAAATTTGTGTCCAAACGCTAACTTAGTTATATTGTCCCGGTCTTTTGATATCTTGGTTTCATCAATCATATTTCTTGTTTATAATAATGCGGGCGATAAAAAATAATAATATCCGTATATAATAAAGGAAACGAGGCTTACTATCAGAAATAATTCAACTTTAAACTTTTCATTTTACTAATTTTACCCTTAATGAAATGCTTTTATAACCACACAAATGTTATGACCCCACAAAACTTTTACCCCTTAAGCTTTCAACACAAGTTTCAAAAGTTTTTTTTTTTTTCTTAAACTCCGTACCGAGTCAAACTACATCATCTAATTTGAAACGGAGGGAGTACTTGCCAGAAGGTGGAATAGCAATCCCAAGATAAATAAAACAGTAAAATTGACAATGCCTACATTAATACAACATACCAAACAATCAATAAGAAATAATGCTAGGATAACTAATACCAACATAACTAATCACAATAAAACTAATCACAACACAGCTAATTCCAGTGTAACTTGTCAAACCAAATGACCTTAAGATATAACGAGGAGAAGGGGTATAGTCCGTATAGAAGCTAACCAAAAATGGGTAATGGGGCTGGTGATCACTAGATTTAGTTATCTTGTCCTAGTCTTTTAGTATCTTGGTTTCATCAATCATATTTCTTGTTTATAATAATGCGGGCGATAAAGTAATAATATCCGTACAATGAAGGGAAGGGGGCTTACTATCAGTAGCAGCAGATGTCTTGCAAAGCCACAAAGCTGAAAAACTGGACGCTTTGGATTCCTTAACACCATTTTTAACCACTGAGTTCGAACCAACGTCACATCTAGGGCTCAACAAGTGCGATCTCGTACAATAAACCAAACGGCTTAATGCTTCGACGACTGCCGAAAAACCTAACTTGATGACCAAAATAAGCGATAGACAGAGAAGAAGATGAAGAACTGAAAAGCAAACTGACACCTGATTTTGCCTTAGATTTTAAGCCTGCAACTGCACAAGAGGTTGCCAAGCCACTCGTTATCGCCATTGAAACGCAATTCCAGTTGGTGGGAAGACAAAAAGTGTATTGCGAGTGAGCTCCACAACCCCAGATTTTGTTATTGACATTCGGCGCAAAGTAACAGACAATAACGGGTTATTATAGTGCAGGGTTTGACGTTGGTTGGTCAAATATACATAAGTTGCCCCTAAACTTATTCAAGAGTCTTAACTTTACGAATGGTCATCACCCCTTATCTTTGTTTGGGATGGAAATACGATTTGTTTAGAAACGTGGAATTACTAGGTTGTATAATTAGTAGGATAATAATTAAACACCCAAATAATTGCACAAAATAGTAAGGTCAAATATATAGACCCCCTTAAAGTTGGCTCCAAATTCCATTTTGACACCTCAACTAAAATTGTTTCCTATTAAACACTTAATCCCAACATAAACTGTGCCTATTAGGCCATCGTCTCACCCACCAGTAAACAAAACTAAGAGCATGAAATCAAACGCGATGACGTGGCAAAAAAACAAATCGAATAACACTTAACCCAAATATAATATGTTATTAACAATACCCCAGAATCCGCCTTGCCTCTCGTCGTCTTCTTCTCTAAATGAACCCCTCCCAATCATCACTCTGCCCCTTTCTCTTTCAAATCTCTCTCACCGGTAAGGTCTCTCTTTTAACTTCTTTTTTTCTATTCTTTGTCTAAGAGAACAACAGAAGGTGAAGTTTCACCAGTGCCGTTGACCCCTCTGGTTCTCTGGTGAAAGCTCATCATTGTCATTTGTTTTAAAGCCATGATCAGACTTGTTAAGATTGGAGAAGAGAATCGAGCTCCAGACCTCCTTCAATGGAGGTTTCTGAAGCTTCTAGAAGAGACTCGAGGAGAGAGAGATGCTGAAAGATCTGATAAAATGTAAAATAAATCTCAACTAACTGTACATTGTACTGTTCAGTATATATATATATATACACACACATGTGACACTAACTAATGCTAACTATTGTTGACTCAGCATACAATTGTACAAAGATAAAATAAATAGTTAGTATCTCAATACCCCCCCCCCCCCTCAAGTTGGATGTGAGGAAATCACGCCCAACTTGTCAAGAACTGAGCAGTGTTTGATCCCAGTGAGAGCTTTGGTAAGCACATCTGTCAGTTGCTGTCCAGTGCCAATGTGGTGCAGAGAGATGAGTCCTTCCTGGAGTTTAGTGCGCACAAAGTGACAGTCTACTTCAATGTGCTTAGTCCGTTCATGAAATACAGGGTTCCTAGCAATATGTAGTGCAGATAGGTTGTCACAGTGCACAGGTACTGGTAAACAGATAGGTACAGTAAGTTCTTCAAGTAGTCTTGATAGCCAAACAAGTTCCCCAACTACCTTTCTAAGAGCTCTGTATTCTGCCTCTGCTGAAAAGAGGGATATGGTCTCTTGTTTCTTGGATTTCCAACTGATGGGGCTGCCTCCTAAGAACACAACATACCCAGATACTGATCTTCTAGAATCTGGGCAAGCTGCCCAGTCAGAATCACAGTAGGCAACTAGTGAAAGATCATCTGAACTACTGAAGTATAGTCCTAGGGTAGGATCCTTCTTTAAGTATCTCAGCATGTGGTAGGCTGCCTGTAAGTGAGGCTCTCTAGGATCTTGCATGAACTGGCTGAGATGTTGGACCCCATATGCTATGTCTAATCTAGTGTTTGTGGGGAAGTTTAGCTTTCCAACTAGCTTTCTATAAAAGGTAGGATCAGACAATGGAGCCCCTTCTTTTGCTTTCAACTTTATTGTTGGATCCAAGGGAGATGTCAATGCTGGGGAGTGAAGACATTCATATTCCCTCAGTAGGTCCAAAACAAATTTTCTCTGTGAAATAATCATACCATCTGGTTTATACAAAACCTCTAATCCCAGGAAATAGTGCAGCTGACCTAAATCTTTAATTCTGAACTTGCCATGAAGGAAAGCCTTGAGCTGATTGATTTCTTCTGAGTCAGTCCCTGTGAGCAGCACATCATCTACATACACTGCTACAAAAATAATAGAAGAACCCTACTTTCTGTGGAACAAAGAGTTATCATACATAGAGTGTGTATACCCCCTTGAATACAAGACTTCAGTCAATTTATCATACCACTGCCTGCTTGCATGTTTTAGTCCATAAAGGGACTTGTTTAGCTTGCAGGCTAAGTCTGAATACTGCACCTCAAGGCCTGGAGGAGCTTGCATGTACACCTCCTCATGCAGATCTCCATTGAGAAATGCATTGTTCACATCCAGTTGAGAAATTTGCCATTTCTTCTTTGCTGCTATGGCAATGAGTGACCTGACAGTAGTCATCTTGACCACAGGAGAGAAGGTCTCTGTGTAGTCTATCCCAGCTTGTTGAGTGTACCCCTTTACCACTAACCTTGCCTTGTATCTCTCTATACTGCCATCTGCCCGATGCTTGACTTTATATACCCATCTACATCCAATAGCTTGTTTTCCCTTAGGTAAGGGGCCTAAGTCCCATGTGTTATTATCATACAAGGCTTCAAATTCCTGTGTCGTGGCACTCTGCCAAGTAGGGTACATAGCTGCCTTTTCATATGAAGTTGGTTCTCTATCACTACAAATGTTCTTTACAATGTGCTGACTATTAGGATGTAGGGCATCAGAAGTAATGTAGTGATTGTTTTGGGAGAACATGGCATGTAAAGAGAAGTCAGAATTAGATTTTAGGTTTGGTATATTGTAAATGTAATCATTCAGATGTGAAGGCAATTTATGCTCCATATGGGACCTTCTGGAAACTAGTGGTCCTTCTAGAGACTGTTGGGGGACACTGGTATCCTGAAAATGTTCTACTGGAAGTTGTGTTTCATATGAGGAAGAAATAGGTGAAGAAGTGTTTGGTAATGTATCAGAACTTGGCAGGTCAGTGTTCTCCTGATCACTGAAGTTATGGGAGACGCAAACATCAGTGTGATCAGATGGATTATCAGTGAATGGTGTATTAGGAAAAGCAGGTGGAATGTTGCTTATAGTAGAATTGAAAGTGAATGGGAAGATTGATTCATAGAAAGAAACATCTCTAGAGACATGTATTTTCTTAGTAGCTAGACTTAGTACCTTGTACCCCTTAGTTCCAAAAGGATATCCTACAAAAACATGGGGAGTAGTTCTTGGTTCAAGTTTGTCTCTTAGGGGCTTTGGTACAGTGGGATAGCACAAGCATCCAAAACTTTTTAATTGAGAATAGTTGGGTTTTTTTTTTATATATAGGAGTTCAAAAGGACATTTGTTCATTAGTGGAGTAGTGGGAGTCTGTTGATGAGGAAGGTTGCTGTGAGTATGCACTCCCCCCAGTACTTCAAAGGTAACTTGGATTGAAAGAGCAGTGCCCTAGCCACTTCAAGGAGGTACTTATATTTTCTTTCCACCACTCCATTTTGTTATGGTGTGTAGGGACATGTCTTTTGGTGGTTTATTCCCTTTACTTGAAAAAAGGAGGTTGCTTCATTGTTGTTGAACTCCAGACCGTTGTCATATCTTATACATTTGATGGTGGTTTGGAACTGGTTTTCCACCATGCTTACAAAAGCTTTTATTACTTGTGGAGCATTGCTTTTGCAACTCAAAAGGTGTGTCCAAGTAGATCTGCTATAGTCATCTACTAGGGTAAGGAAGTATTTGAAATTGTTGTAGGTGGCTACATAATAAGGACCCCATAGGTCCACATGGAGTATTTCAAAGATTTTTGTGGTTTCAGTTGTTCTTTTGGGAAAAGGTAGTCTGGATTGTCTAGCCATAGGGCAAATATTGCACATAAAGGGTTGTTTAGCAGAGAAGGTTGCAGGGATAGTGGAAATTCCTTTAATTTTACTAAAGGGTACATGACCAAGTCTAAAGTGCCACAACAAATCCACATTATCACTAAGAGATGTACCAGAATACAAACCAACAACACTGTCTTTATTATTGTTGCAAGTGGAACTATTTACAATAGGAAAGGGATTGTGGGATTGAGAAAGACAGTGTACAGTATTTATATCATTAGTATGAATAAAAAGATAAGGAAATTCACAATTCTTTTCAGGTGTGAGACTACCTTTCTTCAGACACTTGGAGCAGAGGAAGTACAACCCATCATACAACTTACCAATCTCCAGAGGCCTCTTCAGTGAAGGGGCCTGTAGCAGACATGAAGTGTCAGAGAATGATGCAATGCATCTAAGATTTATTGCTAGGGAACTGATAGATACTAGGTTAAATTTGAAAGATGGGATGAACAAAACTCTATATCGGACAATCTTAGGTGTTAGGATCACATCTCCAATTTCAGTTACTTTGACCTTGTAACCATTTGGAAGCTTAACTAACAAAGGATATGGCAAGTTTATTATGTTTTGTAGATGAGTTTTGTCAAAAGTCATATGGTGTGAAGCCCTGGAATCTAATATCCACAAGTCAGCTCTTGCACTAAAACATTTGCATGAAGGATTATCAAAGTCAATTGAAGAGGTGCAAGCAATCATACCTGCAAAATTTACTGAAGCTCCACTACACATATTAGCACTGGTTGGATTGTCTCCAGTGTTTCCCATCTGAAAATGCTGCAACAAGTTGACAATCTGCCCATACTGTTCCTTTGAGAGGCTCATGCCTTGAGTTTCTTCTTGATGGCTCAATCCTTCTCCTGTTTCCACATTTGTGACTGCATTAGCCATGGCATTCCTTCCTTTGTTAAACCTTGTATTGTTGTTATATCCCTGAGAACTCTGCCTGTACTGCTGTGGTCCTTGATTAAATCCTTGTGGGTACCCATGCAGCTTGTAGCACTTGTCCTTAGTGTGACCTTGTCGTTTGTAGTAGTCACAAAAAGGTCGGGGTCTACTACCTCCACTTTGATTTCCAGTCCCAGTTGAGTAATTTGTTTTGAAGTTTCTTTCTCCTAGGTTGACACTCAGTGTTGTGGAATCAATTCTTAGTTGATTTCTTGGCTTGAACTCCCTCTGTTTCTCCTCCTGTATCAGGAGAGCAAAAGCTTGTGCCATAGACGGCAAGGGGTTCATCATGAGTATACTTCCTCGAACTACCGTGTAGACTTCATTGAGTCCCATTAAAAATTGTATCAGTCTTCTGTCTTGTTCTGCCTTATGCATACTTTCCTTCGCCCCACAGGTACATACACAACTACAGTGAGTCTTCACACTGAGAGTGTTCAATTCTTCCCAAAGTTTCTTCATTTTCGTGTAGTAGCCGGTGATATCAAGTACTCCCTGACTCAAGTCATTAATCTCCTTCTGAATTTGATAGAGTTTAGCTCCATTCGTTTGATCATATCGGTCCTCCAATTCCTTCCACCGCTCAACAGAATCATTTACATATTCAACACTGTCAGCGATGTCCTTTGACAGAGAATTTAAGATCCATGAAGTGACCATATCGTCACACCTTTCCCATTGACGAAAATGTGGAGACGTCACATTAGGTCTTTTACTACCTCCATTGATAAACCCTAACTTGTTTCACTGAAAGGGCCCTAAGCACACTTCTTCTCCAGGAACGGAACCCAATTCCGTCGAACGGAACTGGGACCAGTGAGGAACCAGGGCTATCTGAAGGATGTATATAGAGAGGACTACCGACGTCGATTACCGTCTGAGTTGCCGCCGGTGTAGTCGTTTCGTCAGTCTGCTCCGTGATTGCCATAGGAATTTTCCGAAATCAGTCGAATTGAACCTCGCGTAGTCGAGATTTTGCCTATTTGTCAAACAAATCGTCACTGTGCGTATCCGATCTTAGGTTTTCCCAAAATTCTGACCGATGAGAAAAAAGAGAACCCTAGATTGCTTAGTGATCAGAGAATAGCAGGCGAGAGAGGGCGTGGTATCGAACCTCCGCTTTGATACCATGTTAATATTGGAGAAGAGAATCGAGCTCCAGACCTCCTTCAATGGAGGTTTCTGAAGCTTCTAGAAGAGACTCGAGGAGAGAGAGATGCTGAAAGATTTGATAAAATGTAAAATAATTCTCAACTAACTGTACATTGTACTGTTCAACATATATATATATATATATATATATATATATATGTGATACTATATAATGNAGAGAAAAAGTAGAGAGAAGAGAAGGTAGTTGAGATGGGTAACAGAATTATACCGTGTATGCTTGAGTCCTTAGCTCCTTCTGTGGGTATTTAATTGGGTGACATTGGGCCTTAATCTTCATTGACCTCTTCAGTTGGGTCAGATGGCCCAGTTGGATCAGATGGCCCAGTTAGACTTCTTATTAATCGACTGTAGCCAATTAGTTGAGGCCCACTCCTTACAAGCCCAACCTTCAAGATAAGAAGGTCACTTTCCTAATTAGAGACCTAGGAATCTCCGACATTACATCTCCTTCCCCTTCGAGAAAGACCTTGTCCTCAAGGTCGTAGTTGAGCTACAAACTCTGGAAATCAATGTTTGATATAGCTCCAGTCCTCCCAAGATGCTTCATTTTCACTCAAATTAGCCCATTGAACCAATACTTTCACCCCAACTCCATTATTGACCTTTACCATTTTCCTCTGAAGAATAGCGACTGGTTGAATCAAGATTTTTCCTTCTCCATCGCAGAGGGGAGGTTGTTGTGCTGGAACAATGGAGGGACCTATGCGACGCTTCAACTGGGAGACATGAAACACTGGGTGTATTTGTGACCCAGGTGGAAGCTGTAATCGGTAAGCTACAGATCCTATCTTCTGTTTAATAATATATGGACCATAGTATTTGGCACACGATTTGACATTTCTGCGCACATCAATAGAAGATTATCGATAGGGTTGTAGCTTTAGGTAAACTTGGTCCCCTACTGCTAGTACTCTTTCTGACCTTAGCATATCTGCGTAAAATTTCATACGAGTTTGTGCTTGTGTCATGTTGTCCTTCATTGTTTGTAACATTTGTTGACGTTGAGCTACGCTCACTCCTGCTGGTGATTGGCCTGTGTTAGGCAAGGATCCCATAGGTAATTGTGGTGGTGGATAACCATACAGTGCTTGAAAAAGGGTGATTTTCAGTGCACTATGGTAATTGGTGTTGTACCACCACTCCACCAAATGAAGCCAGTTAGTCCATAGCTTAGGATTATCAAACACCATTGCGCGTAGATAAGTTTCCATGCACCTGTTTAGCCTTTCAGTCTGCCCAGCTGACTGTGGATGATAGGCTGTGCTCATGTTCAGCTTAGTGCCCATAGTCTTGAAAAGATGTTGCCAGAAATGGCTAGTGAATATAGGATCCCGATCAGACACTATTGTTTTAGGTAGCCCATGTAATCTATAGACCTCCTTGAGAAATAGATCTGCAACCTCAGAAGCTGAGAATGGGTGTTTAATGTCCAAGAAATGACCATACTTGGTTAATCTATCAATCACCACTAGCACTGCATTTCCCCCCCCCCCCCCCCAGAATTAGGTAGTCCCTCCACAAAATCCATGGATATGTCTTGCCATGCCTGGTCTGGAATTGGCAGTGGCTGGAGCAAGCCTGGTGAATGAATATTTTCAGATTTAACCCTTTGACAAACATCACACTCCTCTACCCATTTACACACTTCTTTTTTCATATTTGGCCAATGAAACTGAAGTTGCAATCTCTTATAAGTGCCCTGCTGCCCTGAATGTCCTCCAATAGCAGAATGATGCATAGTTTGTAAAATCTTTTCCCTTAGATCAGTACCCTTTCCCACATAAATCTTCTGTTTGTACCTGATGACTCCTTGGTGTAATGTGTAGTCCTCCCTGCTGCTAGGATTGATGGTTAACTCTCTCAGTAGTTGCAATGATGTATGATCCCTTTCATAACTATCCACAATGTCCTGCAACCAAGTGGCCTGTAGGCTGGATATAGCCAATAGAGTAGATTCCTCTTCTTGTCTCCTTGAGAGAGCATCTGCTACCCTATTCTCACTTCCCTTTTTGTATTGAACCTCATAGTCAAGGCCCATGAGCTTGGTTAGCCCTTTTTGTTGTAAGGCTGTAGTTATCTTCTGCTCTAATAGGTATTTCAAACTTTGGTGATCAGTCTTAACAACAAAGTGCCCTCCTTGTAAGTAATGTCTCCACCTATCTACAGCTGAAAGAACTGCCATATACTCTTTTTCATAAGTAGATAATCCCCTGTGTTTGAGTGCTAATGCTTTGCTAAAAAAGGCTATAGGTCTACCTCCTTGCATCAGTACAGCACCCATTCCAGTAGCACATGCATCAGTTTCTACCACAAAGGGCTTGGTGAAATAAGCCAAACCAAGCACTGGTACTGTTGACATAGCTATTTTTAATTGCTGAAAGCTGATTCAGCTTCTTCATTCCACTGAAAGGCATTCTTCTTAAGCAGATTAGTTAATGGTTTGCTAATAATTCCATAAGATTTAACAAATCTCCTATAGTAGCCAGTCAGCCCAAGGAATCCCCTTAAGGCCTTCACAGATCTAGGTACAGGCCAATTTACCATTGCTTCAATTTTAGCATGGTCAGTAGAAACCCCTTCACCTGAAATAATATGTCCCAAGTATTCCACCTTATCCTGTCCAAAAGCACATTTAGACATCTTTCCATAAAGTTGTTCTTTCTGTAGAATCTCCAGTACTTTTCTGAGATGTAGTGCAGGAGCATCCATTGAAGAACTGTAGACTAATATATCATCAAAAAATACCAATACAAACTTCCTCAAGAAGGGTTTAAACACCTGATTCATGAGGCTTTGAAAAGTGGCTGGGGCATTGGTCAAGCCAAAGGGCATGACCCAAAATTCATAGTGACCTAGATGTTCTAAAGGCAGTCTTGTAGATGTCCCCTTCCTTCATTCTTATTTGGTGATAACCAGCCCTCAAGTCAATTTTTGAATAAATACAAGAACCATTAAGCTCATCCATAAGGTCATCTACTAAGGGAATTGGGAACTTGTCCTTAATGGTCATTTTGTTTAATTCTCTATAATCAATGCAAAACCTCCAACTTCTATCTTTTTTCTTAACTAACAATACAGGGGAAGAGAATGGGGAGTGGCTGGGTTGTATAATTCCATTATTAAGCATTTCATTAACCTGCTTTTCTATCTCATTCTTCTGAAAATAATTGTACCTGTATGGTCTGATACTGATAGGTACTGCTTCAGGTTTGAGTGGAATCTGATGATCATGGGTTCTCCTTGGTGGCAGACACTTTGGTTCAGCAAACACTCCTGGGAACTCAGCTATAATGTCCTGAATCTTGTCAGGTATGCTACTTGGTGCTTCTGTGGTCTGTACATTAACAGTAAATAAATGTGCCCATAACACATGTCCTTTCTTCAACAATTGATTCACCCCAGTGGCTGTTATACTCTGCAGCTTGCCTTCCTCAGAGTATCCCTTCAATTCTACCATTTTCCCCTTCACACTCACTTGTAGTTTGTATGCAATAAAGTCAAACAGGATGGGGTTGTGTTTTATCGTCCAATCCACCCCCAAGACTACATCACAGCCCCCAATGTCCAGTACTCTCAACTTGTGCTCAAATTCAATGCTCTGAGTTTTTCACTTGAATTGAGGGCAAGAGTGGTAACTCATTAGATGCCCTCCATTTGCCACAGCTACCCTCATTGGTACAGTTTCCTGGATTGCACATCCCAGCTGCTTGGCAGTGCTACTAGCTATGAAGCTGTGAGTGCTACCACTGTCAGCTAGGATCATCAAGACCTGCTTCTCATATACTCCTTTCAGTTTGATAGTTGTAGAGGTAATAGTACCTGATAATGCATTGAGACTAATTGTCTTATCTATGATAGCTTCTGAATTCTCAACAGGAACTATCTCATCCTCTATCTTATCTTCTATCTCTAATTGCTCTTGTTCTGTTGTCCCTAACAATGTGTTGAGTTGTTTATTTTACACACATGTCCAGGAAAGTATCTTTCCCCACACTTATAGCATTATCCCCTAGCTTTTCTTGCTTCAAAGAGTTTGGTCTCTGAGATTGAAGACTGTTGGTTTTTCTCCTTTTGTACATAGCTAGAAGGCTTGCTCATTGTAGTATTAACATAAGTACTTGGCTGTAGGTTCTGTCTTCCTCCATATCCTTTCTTCTTATTCATTGATTCCATTAATTCTTCCTTGTGTCTAGCTTTTTCTACTGCATGACTTAATAAATAGGGATCAAGCATTTTAACAGTATGCCTAATCTCTTCTTTAAGCCCTTCTATAAAAAACCCTAGAAAGAACTCTTCAGGTATGGTTAGATGTTTGATCAACACCCATGCCTTCAAATCTTCAAACTTCTCTAAATATTCATTGACTGATCCATTTTGCTCTACCCTTTTAAACCTCCCTAGCAGATTTAGATTGCTATTATCAGCATCATTAAATCTTTTACAGATTTCTTCTACAAATTCACCCCATCTAACAGTACCCCTACTTAGTTGATAAGAAAAATACCATGCTTCTGCTCTACCATTCAAATTCAACACAACAGTATCAAGTTTATGTTGTGGGTCGATTATATGATTGTAATGAAAATACCTTTCGCATTTTCGCAGCCAAGCTTTTGGATCTCCTTCTTCGAAGTAAGGGCAATCAATTTTGGAGTTGAAATTATTCGAGTAGGATCGCCCCACAGGAACCTCATGATTCTCCATCATCCTACCTTTACTACCAGAGCCCTCTACTGTATGAGCAGCTGTTGGAGCACTACCTAAAATACCATCCTTGCTTGCGAAGAACTTGTCCATCAGAAGATCAAATTTATGATTCAGTTCATCCATTTTAGTCATTCGACTCCAGCTTTTTACTAGTTTCTACCATGTAGTTTTGTAATTGATTCTCCAGTTTCTTGACACTTTCTTCTGTAACCTTAGATCTAGTTTCTGGTAATGTCATGGTGCCAGGACTTGCTCTGATACCAACTTGTAATAGACTAGTGAATTTATCTCAAGAATTGAATAAAAATGAAGAAGTAAGAATGAGGAAACAAGCTTTATTGATCACTGTCAAAGGAATTGATATTACAATGAATCTACCAAACTAAGTAGACTAGATCCGCCATAGCTACTGAACAATTATACCTGAAAGAGGAGAGAAGAAGAAAAGTTGGTTAGGATTTAGAGAAAGAAAGTAGAGAGAAGAGAAGGTAGTTGAGATGGGTAACAGAAATTATACCGTGTATGCTTGAGTCCTCAGCTCCTTCTGTGGGTATTTAATTGGGCGACATTGGGCCTTAATCTTCATTAACCTCATCAATTGGATCAGATGTCCCAGTTAGACTTCTTATTAATCGACTGAAGCCAATTAGTTGAGGCCCACTCCTTACAAGCCCAACCTTCAAGATAAGAAGGTCACTTTCCTAATTAGAGACCTAGGAATCTCCGACATTACATTATCCTCTGTTATTTTTATTTTTCCTTTTCAATTTCATATGGGTATTATTATGTTGGCGTTTTGATTTCTTCTTTAAGATAAATTCAATTAACAACTTGAAGTTGCGAATATTTACACGTTTAAGCTCTTCGAGTTTATGGAATTATTCATGTAATGTTCCAATTTGGATGTATCTGGTCTGGAATTGTTTGAAGAAGCTATTGAGTTTTGATATTATGCTGCGAAGTTTTGTTTCCAATGGTGGAGAAGTGGTGGAGTTCAAAGTGATTGTCACAGTGATAGTTTGGTGGGAGATGGAGGTGTTTATGCTGTGAAGGTACATGTAGAGGAATTGGCCAAAACGGTGGAGGTGGTGATGACTGATGAAGGCAGTGGCTATGGAGGTGGTGTGGTGGGGTGATATCTGCGGAGAAGCCGGATAAAGGAGATGGAAGAAAAATTTATAGCCTAATCTTCAATTGACACTCAATATTTTGTATTCGCGCTCTAAAAAAGAAGTGTGATACACTCACTATGCTGCCTCAGCATTTGTGTCTAATAGGCGCAATTTATGTTAAGATTAAGCGTTTAATAGGAAAGATGCTAAGTTAAGGGTAAAACTAACACGGTATAGCCAGTTTTCAGACTGGTCAATCAAAAATAGCCAGCGTTTACCAAGTAAATGAAAAATAGCCACTATTTTGCTACAATAGAGACCGGTCCAACATAATATACTGGAGTTCAGTGCACTTGTGTATGAACTCCAGCATATTATGCTGGACCGGTATACTTTGCTGGCTCCAGTATAATATACTGCAGACTGGAGCACCAGTGCTCCAAACTCCAGTATATTATACTGGACCAATATACTTGCTGGAACTCCAGTATATTATGCTGGAGTTCTAGTGTACTTATGCTGGAACTCCATCATATTATGCTGGAGTTCCAGCATACTTATTCTGGAATTCCAGTATAATATGCTGGAGTTCAAGTATATTTATGCTGGAACTCCAGCATAATATACTGGAGTATTTTTCGGGTTTTGAACAGTATTTCCGCTCAGATTTATCTTTATATAAAAAGTGGCTAAATTTCGATTACTTTTGAAATTGGGCTATTTTTGAACGACCAGTTGTAAATCTGGCTATTTTTAAAATTTACCCAAGTTAAGGTGTCAAAATGGACTTTGAAACCAACTTTAAGGGGCCGTGTATGTATTTGACCGAAATTATAAGGGTATTTTCACTTTTAGCCCGCGCAGAAACTATTTATATTTGGTAACCGAAAAAGTGTATAAAATTTGTATATAACATACAAAATGTATGTGTGTGTGTGTGTGTGTGTGTGTATATATTTTCTGAATATTATTTTAAGAGCGGCTATACATTGTCATTTTCCCTAATTATGGTGATACTTTTATTTATTATAACGTAATTATAGTATAATTCCTATTAACATGTATGGTTATACAAGTATAATTACATAGTTTGATATTCGTTTATTTTAGATAACAATTAATTATAAAATTAAATTATTTATTTTCAAAATGAATATATAAATAAGTTTTCATGCGAGACGAATATATGTGTATAAGAAATATCAAAAATGAAAAAAATTGAAAAGCCATCTTGTAATTGCATGGTGTAATTATTGCTAATTTTTTGCCCCTTGAAAATTGAAGAGTGTAATAATTTCCCTTTAATTGCATCTAGTTTCATTACTTGGTAACTAATTGAAGAGTTTATCTAATTTCTAATTTCAGATAAACAGTGTAAATTATGTAAACATACCTAATTATCCCCAAATCTATTACAAGTTGGCCTTACAAAACAAACCCTTAAAGAAGGTTAAGATGTTACATATCATATGAGTACCTTAGTTGTGTACTCACCATAAAATTACTTGTTACTACAACGTTTTAACATCATAATCGTAATTAATTCAATATTCCTATGATGCGTAATAAAATTATTTATTTGAGAGCGTAGAAAGTGTGAGAGTATTTTCAAAATTTTAAATAGCCATTGGCCTTTTTATTTTACAAATGTCCTATCTATTTTCAAGTGGCTTTTTGCATAAAGTTTTGTGGCCAAATACTCTTAGATAATTGGTACATGGCAAGAGTTTTTACATGTGGCATTGATTTAAAAGATTGTTTGACAGATGACCTTGCTAAGCCAAGTGTCATTTTGCATGAGATGTGTTGTCATCTTGCACGAAAGAAAATTGACAAGTAAGTAAAGACACTTTTCATTAAACTAAACTCATTTTCATGCTATAAATAGGA